AAATAGAACTGCCCGGTAAACCGTAGGCAGAGAGAGAGAAGAGGACAACAAACGAGGGGCTGTGACAAACTGTTTCGTCGGAGTTTCACCGACTCATCAGGAGGCTATATATAAATATACAGGGTTGCCGGCGTTCGGGACGGGCCGAACACCCGAACCGGAACGCCCGAACGTTCGGGACCCCCTCTCGACGCGTTCGGACGTTCGGCCGAACGCGGACCCAAAACAAAAAAAAAAAAAAAAAAAAAAAAAAAAAGTTTCCAAAAAATCTGAAAAAAATATATGTGATGTAGAAGAATAAACTAAACAACTTTTGCCTCCACAGTACATCCAAATTCGTTACCAAATTTGAAATAAAAATCAGATACGAAAAATAAATAATATTACAGAAAATAAGAAAAAATAAAACGAGAATGAAATTATTGCGTGGGCACGGACGTTTTTGACATCGCCATCTTTGGCAATTTTTCATTTTTTTTTGGCTTTGTCAAATGCCATGAAATTTTATACATATGTATCTTACATAATATAGAACCTATAAATAAAGTTTGAAAAAATAATAAGTTTTTTCATGCCCCGAAATAAAAGGAAAACAAAAAGTGAAAAGAGAAAAAAAATAAACTGGTAAGTGGGCAAGCAAGTTTTGACACCACCACCTTTGCCGATTTTTCATTATTTTTTGGCTTAACAGAATGCCTTGAAAATTTACAGGCAGGTAGCTTACATAGCTAAGAACTCACCACAAAAAAATTCAGAAAAAATAAATAAAATTTAGGTACCAAAATAATTTTTGGCGGGGTCCGAATGCCTTCAAGTTCGGGCCCCGTACGGGGACCCGAACGCCCGAACGTTCGGGGGTCAGCTTAGGGGCCTCCGTACGTTCGGCCTGGCAACCCTGTATATATATATCGTCACAAATAGATATATATCGTTAAATAGAACTGCCCGGTAAACCGTAGGCAGAGAGGGAGAAGAGGACAACAAACGAGGGGCTGTGACAAACTGTTTCGTCGGAGTTTCACCGACTCATGTATATATATATATATATACGATATATATATATATATATATATATATATATATAGTCCTGGGAAGGTATACGGCAGTCAGCAACAGTCAGACCTACTCAGAAGTTAGTAGTTAGTAGTAGGGGTAGATCTAAGTGGTGAGGAGGTGGAGGTTAGGTACCTGTGCCTTTGAGCACCATGGATGACTATCCTATGTTCGCACTTCTGTCCCTGTCAGTGCTATGGGGACCACTCCTTCGTTTTGTTTTT